GAGATATCTGTGATACCACTGGTGACAGTCTGTGTTTCTTGTGGCGCCTCTCGACCATAGAGCTTGTTACCTCCCCATCGATAAATGACAACCTCACCAGTTGCTGTACCAACTGCGAACTCGCCCGTGCTGCTTCCCATGCTCATGGCCGTGATGTTGACATCATCGTATCGAGCGAGAGCTCTTGCAATATCAACTTGCAAAACATTACTATTCTCAAGCTCATCTGCATGCCCAGCATCCCAAATCCTGACTGTGCCATCACCATGGGCCATCTGAATAATATTTCGAGCTTCAAATCTCTTCATGGGTTTAGTGGCTTCTGCTCCACCTCGAACTAACGGAGGTCCTTGCTGACGATTTTCTGTCATACCCAGCCACCTACCCCTCTCAACTTGAGTGACAGCCATTGATGTGACAAAAGGATGAACGAAGCATACCGAAGGATGGAGTTGATTTGTTGGTGAAATGGGGTATCCGGAAGGAAAGCTCAAGGTGATGAGCTCCCCAGAAGTCAAAAGAGCAATAACGGCAATCGGATTTTGCGCTCCAGCAAAATGAGGTGATGTTCGAGGAATAAAGCAGAAGTCAACAATCTCGGCGCCCTCGGGAGTAGGAAGTAGATGCTGCTTCTTCGCTTGGAAGTGATCTGTCAGTATAGGCCATGTTGATGTTGCATAGATTGGAGTCGGTCCTAGCTCAAGAAAAGTCAATCCTTTTTGTGGAAGTGTAGTTGGCACGCCACCAGCAATGAGGATACCAGTATCGTCTGGATTGTCTTTACAACACCATGCAATCCTAGCAAACGGCTCTTTTATGGCCATAGTGCCTGGAGTATTCCCAAAGGCAGTTGAAGCCGTTCCCGGCTTGTCGACATGGCAGTCCGTCAAGGTTCTTGCCATTACGATTCTGCCATCTTTTGGATCCCAGAAGACCATGCTCGCATCCTCATAAGCCGTACCAACAAATGTTCCAGTTGGATGCCAGAAGACATTTGTGAGACGTGGTTTCCGTGCCTTCTCAGTTGCTAAAGGATCTGAGTCACCCCCTGGCGCCCCGACTGGTACCTCATAATCAAAGTATTTGATCGGCCTTGCCTGCTTGAAAGAATAGATACAAGCTCCTTCAGTGTATCCAATCAATAGTTGGCCAATATCCCTGGGATGTAACTGCATAGAAACGATAGACAGCAACCTTGATCGCGGATTCCGTTCCCTCCAAAAATTCGGTAGCCGCAGAGGTGCCAGTTTCTCTCGGTCAATGTCAAAAGCAATAACCTCCCCACTCTGTAATCCGATTAACGCCCAGTCCAGCATGGGATCAGTCACCAATGCCATTACTACGCCGGGTGGCGAGTAGTTGGCAATCTTCTTTCCAGTTGCCAGATCCCATATTATCAGTTCGTTCTTCGAGTCGAGACTTATGAGGCGGTCGGAGACGAACTGGAGAGTTTTAACGGAAGCTCGGCGGGGCAGACTGAGGACGACTTGGACGCGATTCTGGCCGAAAATGTATATCTGACCACTGCCGAAGCTCGTTTCATTCGTCCCTATCGCGAGCAGAGACTGTACGGGGTCGTATGCTAAGGAACTGATTGTAGAACATGATCAGCGAAGGGCTTGGCGGGGGTCCTGAGCTTCCAACATACCCAATCTGTGAATTAATCCCGAATCGAGCTTGATCATCTGGCGCAAAGAGACCTGGGAGTATTGCAGCTGATAAGTCATTCTGTATACCAGCTTGCTTTCCGCGTAGGAAGCCAGCCATTTTGGGTGGTGGCTTGCAGAAGCGCAAGTGAGTTTGGAAATGCTGGCCAGCTTCTCGTCATACCTTGGCTACACAGCCTAGCCACGTGACCTAATGTATTTCCCGGATCAGGGATAATGCCACAATCTTTAGAAGCTATGATCTGGTTACGGTTTCACTGATAATAATCAGAACTTAGCGGGGATTTTTTATCAATTGTAAAGTCGGGCATTAGCTACTGTAATCTTACAATTTAAAGCCCGTTCACTTTAAGAATAGTTGGAACATTCAACAGTACACACCAAAACACTCTTCTCCATCCAGGATCAGAACCGTTTTGCTTTCTTCGCAGAGGCTTTGCCCTTGATTTAGAACGGGGACTTGCGTTATTGCCTGTTGCCGCCCTGCACTCCTCTCCACGACTTCCTCGGCCAGTTGTTCCTCTAGATACACATTTGGCATCTCAGGTCCCTCTCCAAGTCCCCAGATCGCCCAATGCTCCTTCCAAGCCTCCAGCATTCTATTTTCAGTAGCAGAGATCTCATCTGTCAACATCTTCTGGATCGAGGGTAAGATTGCTTCCAATTCTTCCTTACGTATTCTTTCAGCAATGAGCTGCTCTACCGATGTAATATAGCGCTGAAGTGCTTCAACGCGGCTGGAAAAAGTCGGGTGAGAGTATACTGCAGCTGATTCTCCCGCACTTGCAGCAGTCAGGTCGCAGAGTCTGCACCGTGGGATTGAACGATCAATCTCCTCATTCGGTGTGATGAGTGGGTAGTATTCGGCCATGAATTCGAGGGAAGGTGGACTATCGATGAAGCATTCTTCATGCCCGCAGGTAGCCATCTTATCCAGAAAGTGGATTGTGCTTCCTTTCCGTATGGGAATAGGCTTGAGTACCGCAAAAGTGATGCTTGGTGGAACATGGGTTGGGTGGTATTTTAAACAGGAACCTCTGTGAATCATGAAAATGAATAACATTTAGAGATGCCGACATGTGTATAGCGGGTAGACAAAAGAAAGAGTAACACTCCATGCACACATTATATTTCTGAAAGAGAAAATGCACCCTCACGAGTGACCAATTTTTTACCGTCTTCGACAAAGAAAGCTTCCTTTGTTCAACATATTGAAGAGCAGCACGTCAGGAAAAGCGCAAGGCCATCGGCACAGCCCACCTAACGACGTGTAATTCCAGGTGTCCTTTGTACTGCACTCATCTTCAAGATCATGAGGCTTCTTGGTGGTAAATGTCCCGTTGTTCATATTTCTCCCACCCGATGCATTCTCATGCCACAGGCTGGAGGGTAAGTATAAACGATTATAATTCTCCTCTCTCCTCCAATTTCCCCTCCAAGACCTGCCATTGAAGTAGACGTAAGCCAGAGTGAATATGAAGGATTGTAGTTTTATGTGAAGAAGAAAGAAGAGTTTGAGATCCGGCTTGAGTTTGAGGCGGAAAATTTTAAAAATGTCATGTGATCAGGCTAGTCTAACGCTAGTCCTAAGACGGCCAGCATTCTCCCATTGCGGGCTGTGCTTGGAGGGGTGAACCCTCGAGGATAAATACATCCCCCGCGTGTCAACACACTTTGGCTGCACGACTCTACACACTCCGAAGTCTTTGAAGTTCTAGCTATCAAGCAATCTCAAAGATCATCACCTTCTCCCTTGGATCCCACAAACCCGATCATCCCTCGCACTCAAACAATGGCTCCAGGAGGACCACCAGGTGCCGCAGGTCGTGGCCGCGGAGGCAAATTCAAGAAGTTCACAAGAGGTGGTGAGTAATCCTCCTGTTCTACTCGTCCTTGGTATAGCATCTGACCTCTTTTTAGGCGGCAAGCACTTCTCCCGTAACCTTCGACCCCTCGACGCCGATGGAAACGAGATCAACGAAAAGAACCCCGGCGCAAGCTCATCCGAAGAAGAGGAAGACGATTCCGAGGAGGAGTCTTCTGAAGAGGAAAATGCCAATAAGCCAACTCTGACTCGTGAGGAGCGTCGTGCTGCTGCAAAGGCGAAGAAGGAGGCCGCCATCGCACGCAAAAAGGGCCAAGTCGCACAACCAGGTGATCTGCCTTCCAGCTCCGAGGAAGAGAGTGAGGACGATATGCCCGCCAACCCAAATCACTCAAAGGCGGCTAGGAATCAGGCTAAGGCTGCTCCCGTTGCTGTGGATGAAGCTGCTGAGGGTGTCAAGGATTTGAGTGTGGCTGGGAAGGGAAAGGGAAAGCCTCCTGCGGAATTGAGCCGTAGAGAGAGGGAGGCGATACAGGCACAGCAGGCAAAAGAGAGATACCAGAAGTTGCATGAGGCTGGCAAGACAGATGAGGCCAAGGCGGACCTGGCTAGACTAAAGTTGATTAGAGAGAAAAGAGAGGCCGAGGCTGCGCGGAAGCAGGTCAGTTTCCCATATTGTACTCAATGGAAGCTACTAACATATCTCAGGCTGAGAAGGAAGAACGAGAGGAGGCCGAGAAGGCAAAGAAGGCAGAGATTGATGCAAGGGAGGCAAAGCGAAGAGAGGCTGCTCTAGGCCCCACGAAAGGCAAGGGCAAGGCAAAGAAGTAGAAAGTTCTCTCCAATCTTCCCTTGGTTTTCAATATACGATCACAACGGTTGTCATTGCATGATTGGCATACAGGCATTACTTCTTCCGCATCTCATAGAAGAATACCCAGAAGCTGTGTAGATTTTATGCAGTCTGCACCTCTCGAAGGTCTTAGCTCCTTGAATGTGCACAGCTGCATAAGACGGTGACGATGACGATTAAAATGCCATTGTTCATCTTAATCCCGCAAAGCCCATTCACGTTCTTCATGCCAATGTATTGGATCTAATCCCGGCTGAGGAGTGTTCAAACAGCCTGACATCCAACAGCAGAGGATGAATCCCAGCCAGTTCCTGTAAGTGCAAACATCCGGTAACAGCTGTTGAAAATACAAGTCTCGGGGATCCTTTGAATTGATTCAAAGTTCATCTCTGCCTCTCTCCGTTAATACATCAACCTTCTATGTTTCTAGGCCTTGTTTGTCTCGTAGAAGAGGTGGCCTCCATCGGCCTCGCTAATCGTTTGCCCTTCCTTCCGTTTGCAGACCTCCCTTCACATCGTCCCTCGTCCTCGCTTGTTTGGAGCACAAATTTGCAAAAAAATAATGCAACTCGAAGTGAGATTCAAAAAAAAGATTCAAAGCAGATGCTTGAGTAAGCAGCGCCAAACAACAAAGAAACAGCCCTCTTACAATTATTGAACGCTACTGGGATTGAACCAGTGACCATCTGGATTTCCGTAACTAATTGCTAAGTTACGTACTGGAATCAGATATGCTACCACTGCACCAAGCGTTCTTTAAGTGTTGAAATTACCTAATTTGGTATATTAATGTAACAACCTAAGTGAACTCAATTTGGCAGGCACGGAGATCGGGGTCAACGTGAACTTGCAGCAACTTCATTTTATTTTGTAAGGCAATACAAAGAACATTTTGATTAAGAGAAGTTCAATTCCCTAATTGCCAAGCACGCCCTCCACAGGTCTTGAAACCATCCTGGCGCACCTGAAATCAACAAAAGTTGTTGCTGCACGTGACCGTCCCCCACCTCTAACCCGATATACTTTTTCATTTAGTGGCTCGAAATCTGCGGTTGCGTTTCTCCATTAATACAAAATTCATTCCATCCATCCACTTTCAACTCTTACTGACGCCCGAAATTAGGAGGGCAAGTTGGAGGCTCAACAAACCTTCCCAACGAGTTGGTCAAGACATAAGACTTACCCCCAATCCAATTCGAACTTTTGATCTTCCTCAATTCAAATAGCCACCCTAACTTCGACATATCCAAAGGTAAGCCTAGCATTATGCCTTCCAAAACCCTTGTCCTCGGAGTGAAAGGTAATTCTCAATGAATCAGCTTCACTTCTTCAACTAGCCTCTCGCAAGACGAAGAGGCAATGACTTCCGCACCACCCCATCTCCAAAACATCTCTCTTCCAATCTTATTACTTTCATCCCATGCAAGGCTCCCCTCAACTCATCAACTCCCTCATCTTCCACCCTCCAAACCACTCATCAGGTTCGCGTCCACCCCATCCACCCCGTCCACCCCCACCACGTGCAAGCCCCACATTTACCACCCCAAAATAAATTCTGTTGCACATCGCAAATGCACTCCCAAAAACTCGCCCTTTTTCACCGAAAAGCAAATGGGCCAATTCACGTGACCCTCCAGCAACCCTGCACGTAATGGGATACAGCCCTTGTTTTCAGAAAAGCTAGAATGGAGAATGATGAACTAAGGTTCCTTTCAGTGATGATACTGGTCCTAGGTCTTAGTATATTCTAGAAGTAATCAAAGGAGGACTAGGGTAGTTGGCTTCATAACACCCTAACTCAACACGCGAGCGGGAAAAGGGGGAGTGTCTTGCCCCCCGAACTACTCTCCCATAGTCTGACTTTGGGTTCAGAACATCAATTACAACTCTAAGATCTTGAAATGCAGATGCTGCCGAGTGTAACCCTCTCCTCTAAATGCCTATTCGCGACCCATCGCGACGGCTGCCTTCCAAATCATGATGCCAGCCCTGGTGTCTACATGTCCCTTCCATCTTCGTCTATAATGCTAAAACAAGCAAGATAATATATCTTAGCACCTACTCCCCTTCTCAGAAGTTCCCTTGAATCCTGCGCGCAATATCCCACGTAAATCTCCCAAAAAAGAATCGCAGACTGAGCGGGGATGGTTTAGCTCTTGTTTTTTTCGGGTGAGTCTGGATGTTTGAAAAAGGGACAAAGGAGAGAAAGAAGGCATTGCTGAGACTAGATGATAAGAGTTTGGTTTGGCACAGTCAGAAGGTAGAGAGTTGCTCAATGCACCGTAAATAGAGAATGGGGCGACAGCCTTCCCAAACCAAATATTTTCTACAAAGCAGATCAGAAACGAGATAACTTCGAGTGCTCTTAGAGGGTATAGAAACCGTATCTCGCCAAACTTTCTCCGAAAAGAAAATCGACAGAATTCGCAATACTACAACCAAGTCAACTGTGGTGTGAATATACGTAGCCCCGAAGAGGTCCAACATAAGAAGCGAAAATGTATGCTCATTCAAACCTAATTATACTATCTAACCACGCCGCCGCCATGTATCTCTCATCTCGCGACTCCAATCAAAACAGGAGGCCGTCCCAATCCAGCCTAACTCCTAAGCAACAAGAAAACGCTAAGTGAAAAAACATCGGCTCCAGCTCGCGGCATCCAAGCGCGATGTGTAAACGATTTCCTCGTCGTCATCCTCGTCTCCTCAATCCACATCCAATAACGCAAAATATATTATTTGAGACGAAACTGAGCAAATCACTCCACGATCCGCGTGATGCCCCTGTCGCCCCCCTCCCTGAAGCCCTGACTCGGGCCATGGTACGGCCGACTCTCCATTGTGCTCCTCCCACCTAGACCACTGGGGACAGCCGCCCCATCGCCTTTCATATGGCCTTCTTTGTCCCCATCCCTGTTCAGATTAGGGGTATGAGATGTGGATTGCGAGTTGGAAATGGTGGTCGAGTCTTGGGCCAGGAGCGAGGAGTAGACGGGTGAGTTAGAGTGCTGCGACGCTTGCGAGTTCGCTTGATGAGCAGCAGTTTGGCCAGACTTGGAGGCGGAGTCACCGCGGGTCGAGGTGCGGGGAGAAACGCGGCCGGTCTGTGAGATTGCCGTTAGTGAGCGAGCTTGAGAAGGATCGGATGCGACTAGTGTGGTTGAAAGTAAGAAAGGATGGGTGAAATATTATACTAGAACGCTGACATTTACTAAGAGCAGCAAAATGATAGAGCATTAAGAATTCGTTGGTGAATAAGCAAGAACAAAGGACGAGGCGTGGGTATAGAACAGAACAGAACAAGGTGAAGCAGCAAGGACGGGTTGTTTGACGCGGGTCAATCGAAAGGTAATACGGCATCTTGCCTCGTATTTTCAAACCCTCTCTCAATTTCTTTCATTTCGAAATCTTCTTCTTCCGCCGACAAAGCGTAGCAAACATCGAATATCAACCAAGACGAATAAAGCAACCCGCCGATAGTGCGTTTGGGGGGGTGGGATAATCCTCGATCGAGTCGAGTAGATTAACTTCGAGATGTGGACGAGTCTGACTGGGACAACCCCTTGTACGATGATTGTCGGACGGAGCCACTATGATCAGAAGTCCTGCCACTCACCTGTTTGGCCCACCGCAGCCCACAACTATTACACAGGTCTCTATTCCCGCTTGGCCCTCGGCGCCATTCCGGCGTTACTCGAGTATGGCAGTTTGCGCAGTCTCGTGTTGTTGATCCTCCCTTGCGTCGCTTCCGCTTCTTCTTGTTTTGTAGAAGAGCCGCGAGCTCCTCGGCTAGAATTCGGTTGCTCTTCTCCATTTGTCGGAGTTCGAATTGCCAGCTTGTGCAGCGAGTCGTCTTCAGTTCATCGAATATGTTGTCTTCTGAAGCGAGAATAAGATCTTGGCTCCCGATTGGTAGTCTGGGACCACCGGCTTGAGTGACAGCTCCCATCATTTGTGATGGTACCATTTGAGTAGAAGTTGGACTCGAACCATCTGGCGCAGGTCCAGAAGATAATCCCGGCGGATGGCCGAGAGGAGTCGATCCATCGGATGGGTGTACTGAGCTGATCCCCTTCGAGCTGCCACTATTATGAGATATTAAGGCAGGTGCGACATTGCGAGAAGAACTTTTCAGTAAGCGTGTTTGAGCCACCAAGAATGTAGGTTTCTGGCCTTCTGCAGCATCGCCTGGATACAAAGTCGTTTGTGCTTGCAACACCAGACCCCTCTTGTTGAGTATCTCATGCTTGTGCGTAACCCGCTTTCCAGTTCTCGCTTTCTCCAGAGAACGACCGAACTCGACTTTCGATTCGGGTCTCATGAGAGCTTGGATGCTAGTACCGACGAGATCATCAGGAGATCGATCCAGCAGAGTCCGCACATTTGACGAAACAAACAGGAACATCCCAGAAGTCGACAATTTTGTCCACATCTCACTGTCTCCTATACCACCACCAGCTTCAACATCATGCCGAGCTAATGCATAGACAGGTCTTTCTCGACCAACCAGTATGATACACTTTCGACCCTTGCCTTGCTCAACGCACAAAGATCCGTGACTTTCAAACCAGGTGTAGCCGCTCTTCTTCCGTCGTATTCGAAAGACCACATTGACTGAAGCTCCAGCAGATGTATCCTTTAATTCTCGAGTGACGGGAACGATATCGCTCGGATGGCAGACAGAAGACAGTGCAGTGCCAACAAGCTCTGAAGAATCATACTCCAAGACGTGACGACTCGACGGCGATAGGTAGAGGAAGAGGCCTTTGAGCGAAAGGACATGAACAACATCATCCGTATTCTCCAAGAGAACCTTATCCCACATCCGCTTCGTCAGTTCCGACTCTAGGCTTGTGTTGATTGAACTCAAAACCTGGGAAACATCGTCTCGACTTATCGTCTGGCCACCATCTCGCGGTCGATTTGGTTCGGGTGCTTGCCAAATATATTTCGGCAAGTTTTCTTGCGAGTAATCGACGGTGTATAGACCACTCACACCCTTAGCCGCAAGTGCTTCTGGCTTCAGCATAAGATCAACCTGGAATCCAACGATGTATCTGATTTCCTTATCATCCTCTCCCGTGATCGGAACCATACTAAGCATATTCATGAAAGGCTGGCCTCCTTTCCGGTAGTTAATTATACTCTGCTGCGCCTCTTTCTTCGCCTCTATCCGCTGTCGCAAGTAATATACACTATCATTATTGACGAAATTCCTATAAGATCCAGCCTGGACCTTTCCGTTCGGGTCTTGCAAGAATCGACAGTTCTGCCCAATGATCTCGTGTTTCGTGTAACCCGTCAACCGCTCGAAAATCTCCGAAATATAGATGATGGGGCAATCGTACATCGTAATGTCACAGACGACAAAAGCGCATGACAGATCCACCTTTCCCAAATTGACTTCCGGGTTCTTTCTGTTGGCAACCTTCATCAAAGCACCCAGCATGTCAAAGCCACTTGTTGAGTAGATTCCAGAGTAGTCCGGCTTCTTCTCCGATTTTACCATTGACTGGGAATCGTCTGTTGGCGGTGATGGGCCTATAGGTGCGTTGAAAGCTGATTCTTGGGGTGGCATGTTGGTCGTAACTGGTGAAGAGTAGGCAATACTCTGGCTCATACTCATGGTCTGAGGTGAATTTACCATAGAGGGGTCGGCGACGTTCATTGGAGGCATCGCCGGCATCATCTCTTCAGTCTCTTCCGGGACTATGCTATCTCGATGCGGTGTCAAACCATCTTGTAGGTTCTGGGA